ACCTGCCTGGCAAGCGCAAGGTCCTGAGTTTGATGCCCCCCGCAATACAATAGGCTACACCCTGTACAACCAGCACAGCACCCACCCAGAGCTCCTCCGTGTGTGTGTCTGTAAAATGCTGTAGCATCAGACCCTCAGGAGAGATCTTGGGGAGGCTGCTGCCCCATTTTTCAGATGAGGAAACTGAGGCTCAAGAGACAGAGCCATGTGCCCAAGGCCAGACAGCCAGGAAGTGGTGTGGCAGACACTTGGGTCCACAATGCTCTCTGCTACCTGGAGCAGAGCCAGTCTCAGTGTCCCAATCTCTCCTTCATGTCACCATCCACCCGCTAGCGTCTCTCCTGGCTCTGTGACAAACGGAGTTGGGGACAGTAGCTTGAGAGGCTGAAGATGTAAGTTGGGGTCTCCCAGCACCTGGTGCAGACCCATGTGGCCACCTCTTTGGAGTCAGGTCTCCTTCCCACACCACCTGAGCCACACATGCGTGACAATGCTGAGCGGCCCGGGTACAGCTCAGTGAGTGGCAGAGCATGTGGTGTGGTCAGCGTGCACAAGGCCCTGGGTGTTCTCCAGCACCAAAAAAAACAAAAACTACGAGGATAAGCAAATGTCTCAGACACGGCTTGGTACAAAACAGGTTAGGACAAAATTGTTTCTCTTTGTACCCAGGCAGCGGGTCATGTGAAGGGAGCAGGACTCGACCAACTCCACAGCACGGGATCCCACCAACCGGAAATGGACAGAAGGTTGGGGCAGAGGGGCTGACAGCACAGAGACTGCTCCTGGGTATAAGGTTCCCACTGGGGAAGACCTGACGCTTCTGGAGTGAGATGAGGATCACGGCACACCACACTGTGAAGCCACTAGGTGCTGGAGAGGGTATACTTCATAAAGTCATAGCTGGGCATGTGGCTCACTTAATCCCAGCACTTGGGAGGGAGGCTGAGGCAGGAAGATTGCAAGTTCAAGCCCAGCCTGGGCAACACAGTGAGACCTTGTCTCAAAATTAAAAAAAGAAGTGTGTGTTGTGCGTGCTTTTTGTCGCTGGGGATGTAGCTCAATGAGAAGGTCCCAGATCAATCCCCAGCACTGCAAAAACTTAAGAGTCAAACACAAAATTTATGTCTCCTCCAGTGACATTTCCTCAAGCCTCTATGTCTGGCTCTGGCCACCAGATGGAGCCTGGCTCCTCAGTGACCTCCAGAGGCCTGGGCCGCGGGAAGCCGCTCTCAGCGCCCCGTACCTTCATGCCTTCCTCCTTCCCGCTCTCGATCAACTCATCGATTCTTTTCCTTTCTTCCGACTGCGTGGGGAGGAGAGAAAAGAGCAGTATCAGCGTCCACTCCTGCTCACCCCGTAGGGCCCCGGGGCCAGTGAGGCCAGAACCCCAAGCACCCTCCTTTTATCATCAGCCACCTGTCTTCAGGACCTGTCATCTAGATCAGGAAGCACCCAGGCGAGGACACCGTGGTCCGCGGGCAGGACTGGGAGACAGTGTTCTCTGAAGCGCGTGTACTGAAGGCTCCGCCCCCAGAGGGCGCTGTTGAGACGGCGGGGAACCCCAGCCACTTCCGTTTCCTGTCACTTCCTGGCTGTGCTTTCCTGCTGCGCCTTGCCACCTCATCCACAGCAGAAGCCACCTGACCATGGACTGTACCTCTAAACTTAGGAGAGGAGACCCACCTCTCCACTGGGCGTGGTTACATGCCCGTAACCTCAGCACTGGGAAGCCCGAGGCAGGAGGATAACAAGTTACAGCCCAGCACTGTCAACTTAGTGACTTAGACCCTGTCTCAAAACTCACCTCCGGCAGACCAGAGGCCGCACCCTACAGACAGGACATGTGTCCCTTCCCTTCCAGCGGCCCGCTCCGTGGGCAGCTGCACGTTTGGGGCGGTGGGGCTGCATGGAGGAGAAGCGGTACAGTCCGTGGTCAGCTGGCTCCTCCCAGTGCTGCCCGTGGAGTCTCCTCTCCCCTGCAGCCTGAGCCCCAGCCCCACTGGCTCTGGGTGTGCAGGACATGGGGGCTCAGGGGAGCCCCAGGAACTGGGCAAGGAGCCTCAGGTAGCATGGCCCACTGAGACCTCGCTTAACTGGTCGGGGGCCCCCCGCCCCTGAACCAGCACCGCCTGCCCCAAAACATGCCAGACCCTGTGATATCACTGGGGCCTCCACAGAAGCAGACTGGTCCCTGGCCTGTGCCAGTCCCCCGATGTCCACTCTGACCCGTACTGCTCCCCCAGTGGCCAGAGGGGGCTTTTAAAAATCTGAGTCTGATGACATCACCCCATGTGTTTACTTAACAGCCAGTACCAGTGTCACCCAGTAGGTTGTGACGCCCAGAAGCTGGGCACGGGTCCACGGTGTCTGTACTATCTGAAATTTTTCTAACAAATCTACAATTACAAGATGAAAACTTATTTAAGCCAGGCACAGCACTCTATGCCTCAATTCCCAGCACTCTGGGAGGCTGAGGCAGGAAAATCAGAAATTTAAGCCTCACCTGGACAACTTGGCTAGGACGGTCTCAAAAGAAGAGTGGAGATATAGTGTGAAGACCCTGGGTTCCATCCCCAGTACTGTCCCCCAAAAAATATTTAAAGAAATAAAAACACGGCGAGGCGTGGTGGCACACGCATGTAATCCCAGCACTGGGAGGCTGAGGCAGGAGGACTGTTCTGAGTTCGAGACCAGCCTGGGCTACAAAGTGAGCTCAAGGCCAGCCTGAA